TCAATTCGCGAAATACAGTGTCCATCATTTTTTGAAAAGCGAATGCGTTTTTGAGCCCAAAAAACATACAATTATAATGAAAATGTTCTTGTGATATGGAAAAGACAATATTTCTTTAAATCGGGATACATAGAAATTTGATGAAATCCGGAGATTTAAAACACTGAAAAATTTTGTATTGTCAAAATGATCGAAGATTTCAGAGTTAGATAAAGGATCCTGCTCAGTTTGCTCGTTTAGTTTACGGAAATTTATTACTATCCGCCATTTACGTTTTCCTGAAACATTCATTTTTTTGAATACAATCCATAATCTTTTGCATTTCAAATTATTTTTCAATTTTGTTGCTAACAACTCCCTATTATTAAGTATTTTATTTTAAATTTACTTTAAAGGACAGTTCCTTAATTGCTACTTATTTTAAACAATTTTGTTTAAACTAAAATTAATTATATTAAATATAACTCTCAAACTTTGTTATAATTTATATTTGTGGAATTTATATTTGTTTTTAATTTAAAAATAAAACAATTTAAATAAATAAAGAAAAAAATACATATAAAAATTTGTTTTATTTACATTTTTTTTAGATTTTGTAATTTTCAAAAGTATTATTATAAGTATATTATCTTTTGAAACAATTTTTAAGATGCAAATTTGATTTTCTTTCTCATATTTCACAAAAAAAATTGATTTTTTTTTTCCAGATATTTTTTGGTTTGAACAAACTGTACAAATTTTTGTGTTTTCTTTATAGATATAATAAAATAAAGCTATCTTAAAATAAAGCTATCTTTAAACGAGCGTTTTCGTCACTTGTTCCAGACTTCAATTTCATGTTTAGAACTCTAAAATCACCAATAAATCCCAACAAAATGCTTTCGAAATCTGAGAGTCATTGATTTTCTTTATCCATTCTCAGTTTTTTCTTTATATTTAAAATATAAGCACTAAAAAGACTTCAAATCTCTAAAAGAAAAATTTTTTCCATCATTTCAATGTTCGATGTAAAAAACAACATGATATCGTATATTGATTTGCTACGTCAACATCTATATATTGTTATAATCGATGATCATTTTCGGTTTTATTTCTCTAATACTATTGGAATATATACTATATTCTTTGAAATGTAGATCTCAATTTTGTATTAAGCAAGTTATTACTCTTTTGTCTCTCCATGTTAATACTAAATTTTTGCTTTTTTTTATTTGAGATAATTCCTTTCTGTTAGGCATCTCAGTGAGGAAGCATTTTTTTGTGTAACTCGGTTGTCAATCAAAGATTTGCATAAAATCTATCATTGAAAATATATGCTTTGATATCAAGTATTTTTTCCAATAAATTTTGATAAAGTTATAAGTAACACAATTTTGCTAGTGAATTGAAGTTCTGAATGAATTAGTTCATCAGTATTTTTTTTTTTTTTTTTTTTTTTTTTTTTTTTTTT